TAGATCCAAGGTTTATAGGGTTGCATGTACACCATAGGAGTGTTAGAATGCTCAAAACCCAACAGTCACAATATCATCATTCATGCCTAACACCTCAACACATGTATCAATTTCAACATTATTCTTCTTAAGAGACTCCGAATCTCCAACCTGTTTCTCCTTGACCTTTCCACGCCAGGACCTTATGTTATTTTTAGGTATCTAAGCTTTCTAGCAAGTTTCCTAATTTTCAGGAGGATTTCCAACCCATGTCTCTGTTTATTCCAACTCTCATGTACTATGCTCTCAATATCGTCGTCAAACTACCACGAGGAGAAGAAATGGTATGGAGAGGCACCATAGTCCGACCCATAAGAGTCTAAGAGGATTGCGCAGTGATCTGCATGGATTTTAGGGAGAGCTATGGATGAAACATTGGGCCACACGTGAAACAACTATCAGAGATAAGGAATTTATCGAGCCAACTGAATTTGGCTCCATTGGGGCTCATCCACGTGGCTTCTACCAATAAAGTTAAAATTTCACCAGACCCAACCCCTCAATGAAAGTGTTAAAGTTGTGCGCCCTGAGACTAGAAAAAGTCGACCCGCTCCTTTATTCTGGGCATCTCACCTAGTTGGAATCTCCACAGACCACCTACATCCATTGACAGTCGCAATAAATGGTGTTGGAGATGTTATTCCACACGTCCATTTTATTACTCTCCTCCATAGGGGCATCGAAATTGATAACCCTCATATACTATTTGTTACACTTCCATTTCCCAAGAAAGATCACCATATGTTTGTTGACCTCGGTATGACTTTTGTCAACATCATTCGGGTCCCAAATTGTGAGCAGACCTCTTGGGATTCCTGAGGATGGGGCAGCCACCAATCTATATGCCGACCGCCCCAAAGAGCATTAACATCAAAGTCATTCAAACGATTGGATTTGGTCTCCTTAATACACAACATTTGAATCCGGTGTTCACAAACCAAGTCCTTCACCCACTTCCCTTTATGCCATAACTAAGCGTCGTTTATGTTTAGAGAGATTAATCTGGTCATTGAAAGAACTGCTCACCTAGGCTCGCCACTGCGTCCTTCACTTGATTCTGAAAGTCTTCCATGTTGAATCCAATAGCATTCCCAATTAATTTCGTGACCACAGCTTCCTCAAGAATTTGGAGGGTGGGAAAGGACCTGAAGAACATGTGGTGCTTCCTCCTTTTTCCATGCTCCTTTTGTTACTTATTTTGATCATCTGTTTAGAATCCGAACACCCATCTTCCTCACAAGTTACAACGAACACCTCCTCATTTGTTCTTCCTAAGAGATGTGAGTTCTTACAAACATCTTCATTCCTCTTGATCTTGATACGACAACTACAGGAGCTGTAGATGTGTTTCATCTTCATATCTATTTTCACCTTTTTCCTTTGATTATCCTTTTTTTCCCACAATAATCGAGAGGCTTCAATCTCTCCACACTCTAAATTGAGACAATTTTCTATCTCTGTATCAGATAGGTTATCTGCCACTTGAAATGGAACTAGGTCTTTTAGAGGCGCCTTGGGCTGAGTTTTAGTAGCAACCGCAATCTTCAAATCTTCACAATTTGGGCCGTCATGTATTGGGATCTCCATCACACAGCTGGGATCCAGATCCGAAAAGCCCACAAAAGGGCAGGAGCCATTAGGTGACACACCGACACGTAGAGTAGGTATCGCAAATGCAGTGCATGTGGTGGTGAAACTCGAAGAATCACACTCCTTGGGGCGTGTGTCTCTGTTTGCCATGCTTACTGACACTTCGAGATTCCTATTCGCAGAAGTTGAAACGCTCGTATCTCTATCGGTAAACTCCACTGGAGAAAGCACCAGTGATTTATCCCCGCCTAAAGTCAGGCCGAAGTTGTCGTCGAAGATGAAGTCGTCACTTTCCTCCATATCCCACATATACTCATTATCACTCTTATATATCTCCACCTTTGGCTTCAGGAGAAATCTTTCAGAGTCTCCTGTATCTTCTGTTACCATTATTTTGAACATGTAATTGTCCACCACAACATCAACCTTTTTCGCTAATCAACTGGAACTCCGCGGTTATTATAACAACTTTCCCCCTCTCCCTGCATAAGTGACTAGGAGATTGTTCCATATATCCATATATTTACAATTGAATCAATGCAATTTATTCAGTTTTGTCAGAGAATGATGGAGTTTTGTCATTCGGTTCATAAAGGTGGTCAAAATTGTCAAACCAATTAAAATGAGTTTCAAATAATTCTCGTCATGGATCGTAATTTGATATTTCTATATCAACAATAAGCGGGATATATCATATAGGATATAATATTTGCGAATCCATAATATTTTTCAAATGTAGTTAGAGTTGTGTCATGGTATATAGAGAATTAATGACGTCAATGAGGAAGAAAAATAGGGGTCGGCGGTTGCATGCGTAGAGGCCGACAACTAATAGGGTTTGAAGAGAAGAGAAAATGAAAAATTAGGAAATAATCATAGTTACTCTAAGGTTGCACGGTGCGGATGTAATTTACCGTCGGTAATATTGCGTGGCTTGTGTTTCCGACGGTATTTGTCACTCCTTGATTGTTTTTTTTTCACCGTAGGTAATTTTTATGGGTATAACCAACAACCAATAAGGAAGAGACAATTAAACAATATTTTCATTTAACACCTTTTTTTATTGGTTGACAACAATGGTACCACACCCTACTCATAGATGAATATTGGCAAAAATTGTAAAACTTATGTGGCGCCTATGTGGCACTTAATTTTCGCAGACAAAAATATCACGACACCCTTCAACCTAATATTATGTTGTTTTAAATAATTTTCTTGATGTATGTATTGTAATTAACTCCTACTACATGGGCCGACTATCAACCATTCGTTAGTTTTGTTAAAATACCATCCTCCTTAATATTGTCGTATACGATTCAATATAATCGTATTTTTCTATTTTAATAACATATAGTAATTCGTTTGTAAGGAATTTACAAATACAACTATTTAAAACCCTTATTAGTCTTAGACACCATATTCAACACAATATTTTGAACCTTTTCATAGTTACATAATTCACACATCTACAAACGAGTTTATATCAAACCTTCAAAACTCATAACCAAATCCATTAAAATAACCAAAAAAAAAAAAAAAAAAAAACAAGTCTAAAAATCCAAAAGCTTGACCCATATATCCAATATGGTTTTCATATTAGTAAAAATTAAAAAGGTTGTTATTTATATATCAATCAATGAAAGTTCTTCGTCATCATTATAGCTCGTAAGTCATTCCAACCTTCAACATCCGTTTATGTGGAATTTCAAAGACACTGTAACTTTGCCTCAAGTTCTTTTTCATGAAATTGTAAGCGTAATCAATCAAGAACTTCTTCCCAATCGAAGACCCTGCCCTTGAAACAATCTCATGCTCACCCACCAGATGCACCACTCCCGATCGCCAAGCTTGGTCTAGCTTCACCACATCCTCATCAGATACACGACCTTGCTGTCGTTCTTCAAGAACTCCATAATCAGATTCAACAAACTCCTTCAACCGTTCAATCAAAATCTTCTCAAACGACTCCTTTTCGTTGCGCACGTCCGTGTACCCGTACCTCACCACACACCTAAACACGTACAGATCATTTGGCTTCACTCTCCTGAACAAGAACCGCTCTTCTGGTGCCACCCTGCTAACCGGCAATGACTTGATGGAAACAAAAACAAGAACCGAATGCAAAGCAGGCACGTTTTCGATGTAATGTTTAAAGATTGGTGGAATGCCATGAGCTAGCTCGGAGTAGAAGATAGCAAGTCCACCCATATGACTGATGCTGGTGTCTGTAACAATCTCTTTTATGACTTCTCGTGACACCTTGTTATCGAGCTCAAAGTTGTATTTTGCCCGGTAAACGTAGTTCCAAGTGCACATAATGAACATGAGCACGACAGCAAATGAAAATGGCAAGTATCCGCCTTCCCCGAATTTATAGAGAACCGAGCTCAAATAGATGTATTCTGTGGAGCTAATCACAAGCACAAACAAGAGCACTAGAAGTGCGTTCGTTTTCCATATGACAAGCATGATTACTACCATGAATGACGAAGTTAAGGTCTCGGCAAATATAACCGCAATACCTTTTTCAAATAAGAAACAGAATTAGTAATTAATGAGATATATATTGCATGTTTTATAAGCTAGCTATTTATTACGTACCATAAGCATGGCCGATGTTTTCCGTAGTTCTGAATGTAACAGTAACAAGAACACAACCAATCATAAGAAGATAGTTCATTTCGGGTATGAAAACTTGTCCTTCGTACTTGTCTGATGTATGAATGACTGAAACACGAGGAAAGCATCCAAGCGATAGCGACTGTTTGATAATGGAGAAAGTTCCTGATATCATAGCCTGGCTTGCGATAATCGCCGCCATAACAGCAACCACAAACACTGGCCAGTACAAGGCATCTGGAGCTGACTTATAGAATGTATCCGCCACATCATTTTGGTGCTTTCTTAGCCACGACGCCTGACCACTATATGCTGTGATTAAAGCCGGATAAACCACACAACCCATGCTTATTTGTATGGATTTCACTGTAAAGTGTCCAAGATCAGCAAACATGGCCTCAGTTCCTGTTACATTCGAGCCAGAGGAGTCATGATTTACGTAACATAAAATCGATCGATCGATGTAAAGTACTTTGATATGAAAAAAAGAGTACCTGTAATGGCGAGGACAACGCCACCAAGTGAAATCCAGGCGTCCTTGTTGTTACGTTTGAAGTAATCGACGATGTATTTAGGGTTTAAGGCTTTGGCGACAGAAGGGTCGAACTTAAAGAAATTGAACACACCGATTCCGGAAATAAGGGCGAACCAGACACAGATAATTGGCGCAAAGGAGTACCCAACTCTGTCTGTCCCATACCTTTGAACCATGAATAATATTATCAAGATTATTACAGATACCACCACGATCCTCCCTGCAAATATAAAACATCACTTTCCACCACATCCAAAAATCAAACCCACAATTACCTAGTCGGGTAAATAAAAATGTATCAAATAATTTCATTGGTTATGTTTATTCAGATTTCCAACGTTTTCTCTCTTTTATTGCTTCAAAACTTTTAATTAAATGTCGAATGTGTCGAGGGACTACACTCGTAGATCGATAGCATATTCTGATAGTAAGTATCGAAAAATAGTTAATAATAATGTTTGCATCGTTTTGTTTTAGTGATAAATTTCAAAATGAGACAAAAAATAGACGGAAAACATAAAAATTACCCTCCGTCATAGAATCTGTTGCTTCCTTAAGTCCCGATACTGCCGACAAAACTGTAAAATAAATTGTATATGTTACAAAAAATTGAAATCGATCATTAATTGTTTATGAAAATGATCCTTAAAGATTAAAGTGAGTAGTCACCAGAGATAGACGGAGTAAGGATGCCATCACCAATAACCATAGAAGTTCCAAGCATGGCGCCAAATAGAAGGCAATACTTGGCTAACTCGCTATTCTCTAGACTTTTCTTGACCCTCGATGATATTGTGTTGGCATTGCCCGGCAATTCCAGTTCGAAATTGGACACCTCCCGATCCTCTGCCTGCGCACTTGGGAGCAAACCAACCTTTGCATTTCGACACAACTTTGAGTACAACGCAAACGTACCTCCTGTTATACATATCCAAACCAAATACATATTCATCAATTATATTTACCTAACGATTTATTGATTAAAACATGGTTTCTAATTTTTTTGCATTAAAAAAAAAATAATAATAAAAAA